CACTAAGACGACTCAGTGAATAATTAGCGGTGTTTTGTACTGCGTTCAGGTGCAAAGTGCAAACGTTCTACGATGCGGTGGGCTACATCATCTCGGAAGTGGACGACAGCCAGCAGGCCTCGCTGATCGAGCGGCTCATGTCCATGCCGAACGCCATCTGGGACGAGGCCGTGCAGCAGGTCAAGGCCAACGCCGAGACGCTGAAGGACGTCTAGTGCCTCAAGCAGTTCGCCTTCTTATTACGCACCAACTACCGCGCCTGCACTTCCCGCGGCAACGTATACGTCACCAGGTACCGCCCCCTTCTCACTCATTTCCTATCCGTTGAAGCTGCCATTTATTGAAGATTAATTGGAAATTAATTATCAATTTATTACAGTACAATTAGATTTAATTGGAAATTAGTTAACAATTTTTTTTGAATTTCGGTGTTAATTAATTGATTTATCTTATATTTCATTAAAGCTTTTGTTTAGGTAATTTATTAAAATTATTTCTAAAATTTCCGAATATTCACGCGCGCTGGTTGAACTACTGTAGTACGAGTATAAATATTTTATTATTTATTAATTTGTATATGAATTAATATATGTAGTTCCCTTACATCTTCAGTTCGTAGCATTATTTCGGAGATTTTGTTTAGAATTTTAAATGATCCCACACTGCATATCTTTGGAAATTAAAGTGCATCTGCTTTCTGCAGTGTATCTGGCGCATCTGGACCCCGAGGCCAGGAAGTCATCATGACGGAGAAGTAACACAACATCTTCAGGTGAACGGCGCGGAGTGGTCGTGGAGAAATGAATTTTTTCGATTGTTTTGCATTTTGTTTTTGCCATTTACTATATTATTTGTATATGGATGTATCTGTATTTTCTGTTACCCCTTGATATTTCGCTGATGTTATTATTATTCCGTTTTTCATGGTTTCCATTTTCATGCTTTACTGGTTAAGGATGTTCGATGCGGCGCTGCGCGAACGTACCGAAAAGTTTCAAACAACATCTACTCATAGTATTGTTCCTCCGTTTCTTCGTTAAAACACCCGAACAAGTACGCAAAGCGGTACGGAAAACACTGCCAATTTAGTAACTGCACGAGGTGCAAACTGGAAGTTCTAAGTACCAATTAGGTCTTAAATGGTCTTTAAAACAGTTTCAAACAGGTACGACTTTTTGACTTGGGTTAATTTTAGACCCGGTTCTATTCGAGAAAAAAGCGCCCATGTCTTCTTCATCCAAAAGATGTCCTTTAGATGGTTGTTTTTTGAGTTTCAAAAAGCCATAACATAGTTTCGTGGACCATTTATATTAGACGTGTAAATGTACATAAAAAGGGGCTCCATAAGTATGTATACTGAAACATGCCGTTCTAAAGACGGCGTGTTGTGCTCTGACGATGTCTAAAGCACATCAAAAAATTGCTTGCCGTAGAACCGGGAGAGTGATACAAAACGCGTTACAGAAGAGATGAACAGAGTAGTGACAAATAGAAGCACATTCAACTAAAAAAACAGTTTTCAGTCAACACACTGGACCGACCAAAAATGGACGGATTTCTTAGGTTCAGCGTCGTTACTGGACTGATATTAATCTGGCGCACGTTGCGCGCATAAATACTTGGTATATTAACTTCTATTTCCCTCCTTCTGTACTGACAAATTATTGCACGTACAACAGTTCCATTAGCAGTACTGATCATTTTAAACCATTTTTGCAGTGTTGGCAAGAGTCCGAGGAGTCGGAATTTCAATTTGGCAGCTGTAATTTGGTCAGTTTCAAAAAAATCGTCGCAAAATTCTTAGTTGAAGTTAAACTCAACACAAAGGCATCGAAATGCAGAAAATGAATTCTCTACATTCTGTTGTCCAACTGACAGTAACAAACTTCCCAGAAAGCGTTATGCAAGACTTCCAAAAGTGGATAACTAGGGAAGCCTCTGTACCGCCAACACTAGCGAAACAGTACAAAAGCGGTAGCAGTAGGAGGCGGGAGACACAGTATTTTTTACGCTGCACAAAGTTTAGAAAGGTCCGTACTACGTAGTGTCCGTTAAATTATCCATATATCCGCACTCTCCACGCCTTTAACATATCAGACTGTGCCCTAAAGCTGCGCACAGGACCTATATCGATCCATTTATAATAAACATCCATCCATCTGATAAACATCCATCCATCTAATAAACATTCATCCATCTGATGTTGGTAATGATGAAATAATGGAGTGGGTAAAGTGTAAACGGTATATAAACGGTGTGTGGGTTACACTGTACCATCAGCATAGAGCAGGGTTTTTATTATGATTATTATCGCGTACTGGTGCTGGTGCGGGTGTGCTGGTGCCTGGTGTTTATTTAATGCCTATCGCTTGCTCGTGCTATCATTACGGTTTGGCTGATTTTGTTGGCTGCACTAACATATTGCTGCATCAAATGGCTACTCATATTTTTTCCAACTCTCAAAGTTATTCTGTCTTGGCTCATATCACCACAATTTGAACTTCACACACGTTTCCTTACTCACACGTTTCCTTAGTTCAAATCAGAAATCGAGTTAGATAAAAGTGGTATGTATTTTATTATAACCAAAATCAATCGGTTACTGTACCCAAGTGTCAAGTAAGTACAGTACTCACTTAATTATGTACTCATGTACTTGCACGGTATGGGACAAAGTGTACACTAACAAGCACTGTAGTCTGTAGGAATTATACGAGTATTTAATTCAGCATTTTACTGTGCATACTGGGCCAACAAGCGCTTCTTTGTGCATCTGGGAACTGAATGAACTGAATGTGTCCCTATTACACGCTGTTTGTTGATATCTTTAAAGAAGTTCCGAACTGCGGGCTGACTGATCGCTTTTATCATCTAGGTAGGTCCACATGAACCGTGGCTCCGGATTAAATACCATTCCGTTGAACGCGTCATAGCGCTGGGGCGGCGAGAAGAGTTGTTGTGCGGTGAAGATAGAGCTGTTGATGAAGACATCTCCGTACCCTTGTCACCCGTACCTACCAGTGTTCATGTAGCGAAACATTTGTCAGTGTCAAGTTATAGGACTTCGCCTTTAACTTGACACTGATGAATGCGCCGTTTCTAGCCCTTTCTTCCTTGATTCATGTACTCTGTACAAGTCGATCTCGGAACTTCCTGCACCGTCACGAAGTGCCGCCGGCATTTCTGCGCGATATTGATGAACGTATCACAGGCCATGTCCTGTACGCCGTCGTGCGTGTCTAATCAACACACAGCAACGACCTAGTCGTCTTCATCAAAAGATACATATCCTGATTCCTCACTGTGCAGTGTGCATAAACTCGAAGAGCTTTTTGATGACGGTGTTCAAGAACTTCCAGTGGGCGCGCAGGAAGCGCGTATACTGGCCAACAATGTTCATGATGTTGGAGGCGATGACGGCCTTGTTGTCTTTCCCCCGCTTCTGCTCGCACAGCCCCAGCAGCTCCTAAACATCAACTCGATATATTTATTTGCTAATTAATTGTCATTTATTGCAGAATTAATTTGCATTTAATTATGTATATCAGCATAATTTGTGGGAATTGTGTGCTAACCTTGATGACGGTGACGAGGAAACGCATCCCGTTCTCCTCGTGCATGGTCCCACTGATGGAGGCGATGCCCAGCACAGCGTGTTCAGGTTCTTCCACGACCACTCCGCGCCGTTCACCTACAGATGCAGCTTCTCAGTCATGATCCGCTCCGTGTCCACCGGATCCAGATGCGCAGGTATACTGCACCTACCTCGACGCTCCGCCACACTGTTAATGCGTTCATGGCTGGCTGCATGCCAAAATTAACAAGAATTACCGCAGTTGCCTTGTGGATGGGGCCAAGCGAAAGTCAGTGCGTTAACAACTGTAAGAGACGATCTAACAGCGGAGCAGTCTATTATCGCACATACTGTACTTGTAGTGCAGCGGCTATCATCGTGTGCTAAGAGAGCGCGTACTTTTTCTTTCTTTATTGCTTTAGTTTTAAGACAATTTTTAAGATCATGCTCGAATACATTATAATGCAACGTGAACATTGTAGCGCATAAAACATAAACAAAAATAATATTGTACTAACCACGGAACGTACAGAAAAACTGCATAAAGGTAAAACTCATATGTTATATCCTTAAAAAAATTATTTCGTAAAGGTAAAGATCTGTACCAGTACGGTAATTAAAATTAAAGTGCTGTAAATTCTCACATTAAGCCGAGCGTTTCAGGAAATAGGGCCATAGGCCATATTCTTCTCGTCAGTATGATCATGAAAACCAAAATTAAAAAAGTTGTAATATACTGTATGTTTTTTGTTAATGGCACGCTGAGCTCGAGGCTATTCCAATAAAAATTACTTACAGCTAATTTAAAATAACCACTGAGTTACGTATCTCGTCGAGTAATAATAAGCGCATCTTTTACATTTACAGAAATGCAAACAACTGTTCAGAGTAACATCAGAGCACAACCCCCGCAACGGAGATTTGTGGACAAACTTGACTTCACGACTTATTAATGGATTTGCTTTTTTCAGTAGCGTTTGCACTTGTTGGTGCACAAAATGCATATGTCTCACCTCACAAACCAGCTCAACGATATCGATCAAAATTTAAATAAATGCAACACCGTTGCGAATACAAGGGACCTTTAGCACTCACAGCGAATATCGCCAGAAAAACCGCTGAAAAAGGAAAAAACACAAGTCGATTGCAGACAACACAGGAAAACAAATAACCACGCACAAATCTCCAACAAAAAAAACGAAAACCTCAGTGATATCTCATCACACTGGTAGCAGTGTCTGGTCTAAAGCAAACATCCAAAGCGAAAACAAAAACCAACTGGCTTCACACAATGCCCAATCATCGATGCGTGCCGTACAACCTGCGACAGTAGCTAAAACTTGAGATCTCAAATGTCCAGACCATTGTAATACTCCACACTACATAGCTGCAATGAAAACACTTGGCAACATCAGTGCTCGGCACATCACACTTTACAGTTCCGATAGCACTTGCGCACCGCCGTGCACACCGCAATCACCACGGCCAGATTGATCAGGGCCCCCAGCAGCAGGATAATGAGCAGACTCAGGAGAATCCTAAAGGTGAACACCAAATCGCGGGTACGCTGCGCGATAATATCGTTCCTCACCACTCCCCGGTTGTAATCGGCATCTTTGGACAGGGTCGACAGGACGATCCCGTAGGAGACTGCGGCGATGACCATCAGACAGGCGGCAAACACCGACATGAGGAAGTGTCCGGAACGGTAACGGGCTGGTGGGTTCATACGGCAGGGGATTCCCAGTGGAAGAAGGCCAATAAAGGCGGCTATTAGCTGGAGTATAGCCGACACAGTACACAGATACATAATACAGTGCGTGGTATATTTGCCAGCAACATATGCGTTGCTGGGACTGGGAGGGCAGTCCATCATGTGTACGTATGTGTACGTACAATGAATTTTTAATTCCGAACCTACACGGTCGATGGACATTTTCAAACCAACACATATGAAACCAACTGACAATTAAGATGATTTTACGACTCTCGCGAACCTAGCAAACACAGAGACCGACAAAAAAAACTACAGAAGCAAGCAGCCAGAATCCAAAGGCGCCACACCAACGAGCTCACTGGTTAAGGGCCAAATGCAGAGCGTTGTAAGGGCAAACCCCCAGATTGCTTCGGGTAAAACACCAACAAGATCCGACCACAAACATCCACGTTTCCTCCAGCCGTCTCCAGAACCTGGCAGATCCACGTCCGTTCCATGATACCACAATGACGTGAACGATGAAATGAAGCGATCCAACGCACAGTGAGGGTTCCTGAAGTCAGCAAGATTCCAAATGAATTAGGCATTCGTAAAAACAGCGACAAATATTGAAAACCTTTAAAAAACACAGTACTCACCCATGACATAAGTAGGTGTGTCAATCAGTTGTTAACAAAAGTTAAATGTGGTCGAAAAATAATAGTAGATTGTGACGTAAGTGGCGTAACCGGTAACCGTAACGGTGCACGTATACAGTGGGCAATAGTCGTCAAATTATTTATGTGAAACGGCCAATTAGGGATACTATACTTGGAAAGAAAACACAGTATGATGACGTAAATGTACGCCCTAAACGCTAGAGTAATCATTACTATGTCGTTTGGCCAGGCGGTGATGACGCATTACAATTAGAGCAAAACCAGAAATTTGATATTCATGCAAATCACTACTCAGAAGTTGTACACAAAAAGCGAATCTTGTTAGTAATGCATGCGTCAATGCCTGAATTTACACCGACCAGTACACAGTCTACCCATGGGGTTTTGGTAATGGTCACTGTTGGTTGGTCGACCACCTTGAGTATACTCCGGCAAGGTAAAAAGTATTGCAGAAGCCATGCATGAAATATACTTCTAGTTATTTCAGTTATAACAAATTTTCGTTTATCTATATCGAATATATTTATATTTATCTATATCATCTGCACATTTCTATGTATAACTCTCATATGAGGACGTTCAATGACCGCGGTCGGTAGGAATTAGAAATTTTTATCCCGCAGTTATCCAGTTTGTTGCAATACGCTTACGGTGAAATACGAGTACTAGTATATACCGCACTGTACATATAATATGTACTTGCAAGAACCAAACATCAGTTTTTGCAGTGCAGCTACTATGTAATAAAAGCATATGTGTACCAGGTTCGGAGTTTTCTATAAACGCCATTAAAATTTAACCGCAAAAAGTTTCGAAGAGAGGGAAATTTCAAATTCGCCTGCATAAATTTGAATTTGAAATTATTACTAAAGTTGCATTAGCATACGGTGCATTCTTCGCAGGCGATATTTGGTAGACTATGATCGGTAGTCTAACATGATCAAATACTAGTACGTTTCCTGTACATGTATATTGTTAGCGTCTATCGAAAGGCAACGACGTACGGGATCCTCCGTAAAAAAAATCTATAATAGCTGCAAGGGACTATCCAGCCGTGTAGTATAAATGCCAAGTTCGCTTTACGTAATGGCGACAGAGGATCATGCGACGCACGCAAGATGTGGTCGTCTACTCTTCACCTACCAATCAACCACGGAATGCCGGATTGTTCTGCGGGATATACAGAAGTCATCCTATTGAGATGTCCACATGACAGATGGAATAGAATTCCCAAGAATTTCATTAACGCTGCGATGTAACGCCGAATTCCCTGCTCCCATTGACAGTGAACGTATACCGTATAATGATATAAGTCTTTTGGCACATGCTGTGAAGGCGCCGTTGTTGTTTTTAAAGAAATCGGGAAAAGGTTGTTTGTTCGAACTACTGGCGAGTCGATCCCGATCTACCTTTAATTTTTTTGTTTCAGCGGCTAAGTTTAGAGATTGGGCGTGGTGATGCTCAGTGGTTTTGGCGACCGTCTCCTCACGCTCCAACTGGGATAATTTTTTTATTTGATTAGTGAATATTAGTTTTGTGACGCAGTCCATTATACTCAAGGTTATTAAGTAAATTGTACTCCTAAAAAATGATATATAAATTTAACTCTGTAGATACGCTATGAATTCCATTGTACATGTGGAAATGTACTCGAAAGCTTTAGCGACGTATTAAAAGCTTATTATAATAGAAAATTATTATATTAGCTTGTTATTATATATTAAAAGTTCAAAATAATGGTGAACTACCGATCCTCAGCGATATCGTATACTACCAGAGCCAATATACGTAACTGATTCAGCAGTTTAGTCATCCGCTATTTGCGTAAACCTGCAAACTACTCTAGAAGTTGTGAGCGAGGATAGAATGATCATGATCCATGAATCATAAATTTTGCATTTACTTCCCCGTGGAATACGTATGTTTACGGAGATTTCTTCCATCTCTGCTTTTTTCTTTCCTTCATGCGGCGCACGCAAAGTGAGCGCATACATGATGTCAAAACAAACAGCCAAAAGAACATACAGAACCATTTTGATTACTTGTGGTTTTACTTGTACACCCTGCGTTAGTTGTGATCTTCATAGCACTAGAAATGCATGCCGCACCGTTTTAGGAAATTTAAAATAAATTCTGTTAATTGAGAGAAATGCACATTCAATTCAGACCGCAGCACATTACTCATAAGTCAGTACAAATATCTTTCTAAGTTAACGCTTTTTGGTTTAGTTTGCGCAATTATTTCGACCGTTTCCCATTTGTTCCTTACCTTTCTGGCACATGTACAATCCGTACAAAATTAATTTTTTATTCGTCTAATTTGCGTAACTATGGATGTACTCGCTGAACTTCCGGTCGAAGACGTTCAGGTGATGGAATGGAGAAGTGAACCGGAGAACACTGGCTTATTGTCGCGACTGCCGTTCGAAGTGTTTCGCCTAGGACTGGCTCAATCCGTACCAAGATCATGCGTTGCGCGACAGCATCGGCGCAGCAATCATTCCAAGCCGCAACACGCAGCAACGGGCCGCAACAGTGCTGCCGTGCTCGGCTGGGCTATGCCAGTGCAACGCCGCAACAGGCGCAACACGGCCTATAAGCCGCAACACGCAGCAACGGGCCGCAACAGTGCTGCCGTGCTTGGCTGGGCTATGCCAGCGCAACGCCGCAACAGGCGCAACACGGCCTGTAAGCCGCAACACGAAGCAACGGGCCGCAACAGTGCCGTGCTTGGCTGGGCTATGCCAGCGCAACGCCATTATACGCCAACACTATCCATAAGCCGTAACGCAGCAACGGGCCGCAACAGTGTTGCCGCAATTATCAATAATATGCCAGCAACGCCGCAACATACAACACGGTCCAGGCCGCAAACGTTAACGGCCGCAACGAAAGGCCGTGCTCAATAATAGCCAGCGTTAACCGCCGCAACAAGCAACATCATCCAGGTCGCAACACCAGCAACCATCCGCAACAGTGCTGCCGCAATAGCAACGCCGCAACACAGGCGCAACGCATCTGTGTCCGCAACACCAGCAACGCAATCGCAACATGCCGTCGTGCTCTGAATAATATGCCAGCGCAACGCCGCAACAGTATGCCAACATCATCCAGGTCGCAACGAGCCAACCGGCCGCAACAGCGTTGCCGCGCTTAATAATATGCCAGCGCAACGCTGCCATTTTATAGGCGCAACACGCATCCATATCGCAACACCGTTAACCATCAGCAACAGCGTCAGGTTTATCAATATGCCAGCTAACGCCGCAACATACAACACTCCATCCAGGTCGCAAACGCGTTAACCAACAGCGTTGCCGTCGTACCATTACCATGCCAGCGCTAACCGCAACAGGCGCAACACGGTACAAGCCGCAACACGCAACAACGGTCAGCAACAGGCCGTCGTGCTGGTCAATATGCCAGCAACGCCGCAACAGGCGCAACATCTTCCGTACGCCAACACGCAGCAACGGTCGCAACAGTGTCGTCGTGTCATCAATATGCCAGCGCCGCAACAGGCGCAACACCTATCCGTACGCACACGCAGCAACGGTCCGCAACATGTCTGTCGCGCTGGGCTATAATAGCCAGCGCAACGCCGCAACAGGCGCAACACCCATCCATAGCCGCAACGACGCAGCAACGCCAAACAGTGCGTCGTCGCGTTTATCAATACGCCAGCCGCCAACGCAGCAACGTACAACGCAACAGGTCAGCAACGCCAACGTAACAACGTCGTGCCTGGTCAATGCCAGCGCTAACCGCAACAGGCGCAACACATCCGTAGCCGCAAACGCAGCAAGCCGCAACAGTGCCGCCGTGCTCATTAATATGCCAGCGCAACGCCGCAACAGGCGCAACACGGCCCAAGCCGCAACGCAGCAACGGTCGCAACAGTGTTGTCAGCCTATCAATTATGCCAGCTAACGCCGCAACAGGCGCAACACGATCATAAGCCGCAACACGCAGCAACGGGCCGCAACAGTGCTTGCCGTGCTCATTAATATGCCAGCGCTAACCGCAACAGGCGCAAACGCATACAGGCCGCAACACCAGCAACGGGCCGCAACAGTGCCGTCAGCTCATTAATATGCCAGCCGCCAACGCCGCCAACAGGCGCAACACGGCCTATAGCCGCAACACGCAGCAACGGCCGCAACAGTGTTGTCGCGCTTCATCAATATGCCGCCAACGCCGCAACGGCTAAACGACCAGGTCGCAAACGCAGTTAACGTCGCAACAGTGCTGTCGCGCCTACAATATGCCAGCGCAACCGCAACAGGCGCCAACGGTCCAGGTCGCAACGCAGCAACGCCGCAACAGGCTGTCGTGCCTAATAATATGCCAGCCAACGCCGCAACAGGCGCAACACAACTGTGGTCGCAACACGCCAAGTGCCGTCAGTGCTCGTCAATATCAGCCGCCAACGCCGTAACAGTATGCCAACACATCCATAGCCGCAACACGCAGCAAACGGGCCGCAACAGTGTCTGT